TGTGTGCATGTCTGTGCACACGTGTGCGTGTGTCCGAGTGTCTGGATGTGTCTGTGTGTGCATGCACGCGTGCGTCTGCGTGCCTGTCTGTGCACACGCGTGCGTGAGTCTGAGTGTCTGGATGTGCGTGTGTGTGTGCGTGCACACGTGCGTGCGTCTGCGTGCGTGTCTGTGCACGTGTGCGTGTGTCTGAGTGTCTGGATGTGTGTGTGTGTCTGTGTACGCGTGCGTGCGTCTGCGTACGTGTCTGTGCACACGCGTGCGTGTGTCCGAGTGTCTGGATGAGTCTGTGTGTGCGTGCATGCGTGCGTGCGTCTGTGTGCGTGTCTGTGCACGCGTGCGTGTGTCTGAGTGTCTGGATGTGTGTGTGTGCGTCTGTTTGCGTGCACGCGTGCGTGCGTCTGTGTGTGTGTGTGTGTGCACGTGTGCGTGTGTCCGAGTGTCTGGAAGAGTCTGTGTGTGCGTGCATGCGTGCGTGCGTCTGTGTGCGTGTCTGTGCACGCGTGCGTGTGTCTGAGTGTCTGGATGTGTGTGTGTGCGTCTGTTTGCGTGCACGCGTGCGTGCGTGTATGTGTGTGCACGTGTGCGTGTGTCCGGATGTGTGTGTGTCTGTGTGTGCGTGCACGCGTGCGTGCGTCTGCGTGCATGTCTGTGCACGCGTGCGTGTGTGTGCGTGTCTGGATGTGTGTGTGTCTGTGTGTGCGTGCGTGCGTCTGCGTGCGTGGCTGTGCACGCGTGCGTGCGTCTGTGTGCGTGTCTGTGCACACGTGTGCGTGTGTCCGAGTGTCTGGATGTGTGTGTGTGTGTCTGTGTGCGTCTCCGTGCACGCACGCGTGCAGACGGACTGCCCGGCCGACTGTCCGAGTCTGCCCTGCGGTGGGGGTGGGCAGAGCCCTGAGGCTGCGGGCCTCTGGACACAGACCCCTTCTTTCTGGGGAACCTCAGTCTCTCCCTCCTAGGCCTTCAGCCATGGCTTAACCAAGCTGACGCCTGAAATCAATCCCTGCGGCGCCCAGCCCGAGATTGCCCCCCGGACTGCCCGCCCTTTCAGCTCCGCTGCAGAGCAGCCTGCCACCTGGGCGGCTACGGCCCAGACGCTCGACTCCCATCCCTGCCGGCCGCCCTCCTTCCCCGCTTGGGCCTGCAGGGACACTGGGCTTGGGACCTGGGCCAGTCCACTCAAAGGCACGGCTGCTTCACCGCTCGCCATTGCTTTGCTCACCTTGCGGCAAAGCTCCTTGAGGGAGTTAACACTCGGTGTCTCCAAAGCTTCTGCCGGGCACTGTTTTTGGGGGGGTAGGAGGGTGGCTGACTGGCTCAGGTATCTGAACCCTTGACATTGGTGTTATCAGTACTGCGCTCTCCCAGATGAGCTTACTGGCCAGCCCTATGTTTTGAAAATTACGATAATTTACATACCATAAAACTCACTCTTTTAAAGTGTACAACTTGGTGTTTTTGTTATGTTCCCAGAGCTGCACGACCATCACCACGACTTAGTTCCAGAACGTCTCCTCTCCCGTTAGCAGTCCCCATTTTCCCCTCCCCAGTCCCCAGCAACTACTAACATACTGTGTCTGTGGATTTGCCTGTTCTAGACGTTTCATGTAAATGGAACCATACAGTGCATGTCTGGTTATCTCGCCCAGCACAGCGATTTCACAGTGAGTCCGTGTTCCCACGTGTCAGGGTTCCTTCCTTTCGTGGCTGAGTCAGACCCCATCGTGGAGACGGGCCTCCCGCTGCTTATCTGCTCATTGGTTGATGGACTCTTGGGTTGTTTCCACTTTCTGGCCGTTGTGAATAATGTCACTGTGGACATTCATGTGCAAGGTTTCGCATGGACATATGTTTTCAGTCCTCTTGTGTACTTACCCTGGAATGGGATTGTTGGGTCATTTGGTCACTCTATGTGCAGCGTTTTGAGGAACCGCCAGACTGTGGGGTGTGGCATGAGGCTGCGCTGTTTTACATCCCGTCAGTTTTTATTTTAGCTGTTCCGATGGGGATGTGATGGCATCTCATTGCTTTTTTGTTTGCAATATTACTTGTCTGTGTGTGTCCGTGTGTGTCTCTCTGTGTGTGCCCACGTGTGTCTGTGTGTGTGGCTCGGGGGTGGAGTGAGTGCTGAGGACGAGTTGGATTTGCAGCAGGTGAGATGACAGTGTGCTGGAAGTGCAGCTCTGTGCTTCAAGCGTGGTGGTGGGTGAGGGTGGAGAGTGGGAAACCTCTGCATGGCTTGGGTTCCACGTGGCCCCCTGGAAGGGCACCAAATGATCTATAGACAAGTTGGGCAGTGGGACTTGGCTGTCACTGGGCAAATCACCCACCCAGACAGGGATGCGGGGTGTGCCCCATCACATGCTGTGAGGCCCAAGCCATGTGGAGGCTGCCAAATCATGTTTTGAAGTCCTGAATGGAAGGACCTTTGGGAAGGAGTGAGCCAGGCCAATGAGGGTCTCAGGCCATGCCCCTGGACGGCTGGAGGGCTCTGGTCATGAGAAGAAGCAGGGTGGGGGGTGGGGCTGCCTGTTGTCCCTGTCCCGGCTGTGCAGTCCCATCCTGGTCAGGGAGTCTTGGGTCCAAAGCAAGAGAAGTTGCCAGCCTGAGGGGATGTGTGAAGAGTTGCAGACAGAGGTGGGGTCAGGTGGGGTGCTGGGAGCTCATGGTTGCGGGGGACCTTCGTTTCTCAATTAATGCTGGGACGTGTGTAGAGTGGACAGGTCAGGAAGGGCCTCGCAGTCCTCGGGGGAGGGATCTGTCTCCTCCGGTGGTGGAAGCTGCTGCTCATCAGCTGAGCTGTGCCGGTGGGAGAGAGAGGTCGGGGTGGGATTCAGGAGGGCACCTGGAGGTTTGGGCCTAGACCTGTGCTGGTTGGGTACTGGCCGTCTGTGAGACTGGGTGTGTGTCCACAGATCATTTGGTGCTATTCCTGCACGAGGGGCCTGAATCCCCTCCCTGGAGTGTGGGCCTTGGAATGAACGGCATGTGGCAGAGGGCAGTGGGCCCTGCAGCCTCTTCTGCACTGTCCCTCTGGGGTCCCTCACTCTGGGGACAGTGGCCGTGCTGTTGTGACCTCAGGCAGCCCCGGGAAAGGCCAGGTGGCTGGTACTGAGGCTTCCAGCCAGCCGCTGTATGGTGCACAGTGGTGGGACTGGAGCCTCTGGCCCCTGCCTCCAACCTGCCAGCAGCCTCTGCGGGGACCACTGAGCAGCGCTGCCTCAGGTGCTGGAGAAGAGAGTTGGAGCCCAGACGCCCCCAGGAGGGCAGAGCTGAGCCGCGCCCAGGCAGGCTTCCCAAGGTCTGGCTGCCAGTGGGCAGTGGTGTCCCATGAGACAGGCCGGGCCTCACGGGGAAGCGCTAAAGCTGAGACCCCATCATAATCCGTTTTAAGTTTTAAAAATAACATTCACAGTTTTCTTTTGTCATGAATTCAAACCAGGATCTGTTCATTGTTTTCTATTTTGAAAGTACAAAAAATAAGATAGAAAATACAAAGATGCTGCGTCTGTGTCCCCTCAGTGTCACCCACCCCTGATGCACGCGTCTCATTTGGTTTGAGAAGGGGACCGCCCAGCATGTACTGTTTCGGGTTAATGCGACTTCATGCTGTGCTGTGAAGACTTTTCCATGTCAGTAAATATTTTTGAGAGCCATCATTATTAAATGCTATCTACATCAGAGTTTGGAGGTCTGCTAAGAGCGGGCGGGAAGTGGGGAAGCCCACCCTCATGGTGGGGCTGTTGCTCCTGGCTCCGTCTCTGCAGATGACCCTCCCAGCCTGCGCTGCCCGGCACCTGCCACAAAGCATCCCCGTGGAACCTGCGGTGGCTGCTGGTGGGGGTGGGCTGCAGGGCA